TAATTTATTGTGTTTGACAAATCAAAAAATCTAACAATTAATTTTCAGTGATGGCTGAAAGTTTTTCTAAGAAACTGAATGAGAAAATTAAAACTTATATAACGCCCAAAAAACTATACAAAAACCAAGTAAATTAAAATAATTTATTTATAAATATAAAAAATAAAATTATTTAACTCAACCAATGATTTACAATTTATTATTTATTTTTATTGTTTTTTGAATATTTTATTAAGAAACTCACTTCATTCTTTTTTTTAATTATTTCTAATAACATTTACATTACATTTTATTTTCATACATCAAATTATTTTTAATAATTGTTTTGTATTTTTATACAACAACAAAACCATTATTTCATAATCAGTTATTTTGGAGAATGTTTTTGAGTTACTTTTGATAACATCTTCATTTCTTTAAAAAACTCTAAATTCTGTTTGAGTGAGATGATAACAACTCTTGTTTTATTCATATTTATTGTACTTTCTTTTGGAAGAATTGATTATTGGTGTGATAGTGTTGATAATTATGTTAAATACCCCCTCCAAACTCATTGTTATAGAAATGGATGGGAATACTCTAATAAATTTGGTGATAACAAAGACGTTGATTGGTTTACAATATCTGACAATAGAATAGGATCAGTCAAAAAATTTAGTAATCTTGATCAACCTAAAGGTAGACATATGTATTTTTCATTTTCATCATATTCTCAACCTAGTTCGTTAAAACAATTAATGATTGAAATTAAAAGTTCAGAAAGAACAATATGGATTTTTCATGGAGCTAGAACTGATGGTCTTTTTGTTGGTATTGGTTGTTTTGGAAAGAGTGGATGTCGTGGGAGTGTTGACAATAGTCAGGGAACTCATATTGATAGTTATGATAAATCAATTGTTGTTTATTCTGAAATTAATGAGAAATGGATTGTTGATTTCAACAAACGGGACGAAAGTTTTAGCACTCCAACAGTTCCATTCATTTATATTGATGGGGCTGTTGACCAAACTGTTTCATGTAATTTTACAACTGATTTATTCAGTGGAACAAGTTCCAATGATTCATGGAGGTATTTGTTCACTGGTAGAATCACTTCTGTGAATACTAATAATAATAGTAAATACAAATTTAAGCCAAAATCTGTGTGTTCACGAAGTGTCAATGGAAAGGCAATTCAAAGATATATGGCATTTGATTCTTCAGATAATTCACCACATTCTATGTGTTATTGTACTTCTTACTCACAAACAATATCTACTGATAAATCTAATTATGATTTTGCTGATTGCTCATCAAACAGTACTTATTTTGACCTTAGATTTAACCAAGTAACTTCAACACCAATTATATTCAGACTTTGTGAATGGTATTCAATTATTCCAGAACCTGACAAACATTATTCATTTTCTGTTCCTACAAATAAGGAACTGAATGTTCAAGAATGTCGATTTGAATCAACTTCAGTTACTCTTGTTGAGGGAAAGATGATCTGCAATTCATTGTTCATTGATTCAAAATCAACTATTGTTATAGAAGAAAAAGCATCACTTTCAGTTTCAAGAATCATAACAACTGAAGAGATTAACAATCTAAATCAGAATGGAACTATCATCAACTTTGGGACATTGTCTAGTATTAAACCTTCAATTAGTATCACTACTCAGATGTCTCAATCAAAATGTTTTGAACTTATCTCTTCAAGTTCATCTATTAGTGTCACTGTAAATAATGGTCATATACTAGAAAAGAAACTACTTAGAGTATGTCCACCAAGTAATATTGATTCAACTATTGTTTGCACACTGGATACAAACAAAATAAGCGATACAAATACGTATCAGAATATCGAAGGATCAATTGTTCATTGTCCATGTTATGGTTTGAATTGTATTACTAAATTTAGTAAAGAAGATACAATTATTATTGCATCAGAATATCAAGGTATTATTGAGTTGATTGATTCTACTACACAAGCCATTGAACAACAATACAAATCACTAACCACATTACGAATAAAAGGAAATAAAAACATTGTTACCATTATCACAAACTCAAAAACATCAAATCAATTTATACTAAGTGTTGAAGCTGGAAGTAAGATATTACTCACTGGAAATGAAATAGGATTTTATCAAAACAATACAAATAAACTTTCCACGAGAATAGGTTCAGAATATCCATGTCAGTCATTATTATTTAATGGTGAAACAAGTAAATGTAGTATATGTAAAAACACAATGGTCAATGAATATTGTCCATATGATAATGAGATACCAAAACATTGTTTAAAATACCCATCATTAAATGAATGTATTCAATGTGAGGAGGACTATTATTTAGAAGATAAGATATGTACCACATGTCCATCAAATTGTTTAAAGTGTTTAAATGGAGTATGTATTCAATGTAAAGATAATCATTATTTGGATAATGGAAATTGTTTGAATAAAGTAGATCCAAATATTGAATTAATAATAAATAATGTAGTTATAAAATGTCATGACTCTTTTTATTCAATTGGAAATGCATGTTCTTCTTGTTCAACAAACTGTCAGTATTGTTCTATAAAAGATGGAAATTATGAAGAGAGTGTGTGTTCCATTTGTTCAAATTCAACTGTTCTTACTTCATCTAAAGAATGTTCAACAATTCCAAACTCAGAAATAACAAGTAACATCAATGTAATAGAATGTGAAAATAATTATAGAGTAACAGATGGACAATGTGAGTCATGTAATCAATTTGGTTCATTATGTCAGAAGTGTACTCCTAATCAATGTACTCTTTGTTTAGATGGGATTATTAATGAAAATGGTATTTGTGTAGATCCAACAACAACAGGATGTTTGGTAAATGAAGATATAAAAACAAGTTATTGTATGAGATGTAAAGATAAAGATAAATATTATGATGGAACAAGTTGTGTGAATACAAACAATTGTTTAACAATGAGAAATAAAGCAATGTGTTATGAATGTCAACCAGGATATATTTATGACACATTAACATCTCAATGTGTTGATAAAACAAAAATACAAACAAATTTAATAGAAAAATGTAGTATTTGGAGAGGAGAACAAAAAGATTTATGTTTAAGATGTAAAGATAATTATTATTATGATGAATTATCACAGTCATGTATTGTTTGTAATTCGGCTTGTTTAACCTGTTCAAATAAAGACACTTGTTTCACATGTACAGAAGGATATTCGTTAATAAATACTAGTTGTATTTTATCCTCATCAATTATTCAGAATTGTAGATTACTTATTGTTGGAGGAGATAAGTGTGCTGTTTGTAATTCTCATTATTACAGAACGAATAATGGACTATGTCAAAAATGTTTAGAACATTGTAATTTATGTTATGAAAGTGATAAATGTAATTCTTGTGATGGTAATTATTTCTTATTAGAAAATACAACAGGATGTATATCATTTGATGAACTAACACATTGTAAAATAAAGACGAGTGGAGGGTGTGAGTCATGTGAAGAAGGGTATTATGTTTCAAACCAATACTGTTCATCATGTAATTCAACAACAGAACATTGTCAATACTGTTCAAAAATGGGGTATGTAATTCATGTACAAATGAATATGTGT